TGGTAAAACAATACATTTAAGTAGATATGTTCCAGTGATAAGATTACTGAACTATGAGGATAAACAAAGGTAACTATAACTAACGATATTTGAATAGAGGATATGAGGCGATATGATCACAACGTAGAAGATATCAAGGAACATGAGACAATAAGGAAAATTAAAGAGGCAAGTTAGAAACACAGAGAAGCCGCAGAGATGCAGGGGACCACTCATATGCACTCAGGTTAAACAAGGGCAACTGAAACAGATGGTTTGATCAACTACGACTGACTTTCAGTATCAAGTATGACAGTAGTGGAGAGTCACCAAGTATGAATACAGCAGATGTATTAGTTAGAAGGCGGGACTCTACAATACATTCCCGGTCTCTTCCGCTCTCTCTCTCTCTCTCTCTCTCTCTCTCTCTCTCTCTCTCTCTCTCTCTCTCTCTCTCTCACTTTCTCTCTCTCAAACACCCAAGTAAGCAATCTGGACGACATGAAAAACTTTTCTCGTTATGAATTTTTTCTCTTCAGTTGGAAATTCTATACGACTGTTTTCTGTCTTTTTGAGGTCGGTGTTTGGACAGGTGTAGTTCTGACAGAGGCTGACGGCAACACGCGCAGCACTGGCACCATACTCGAGCAATACAGACGGCACCATACTCGAGGAATGAAGGGAGGGTTAGGAGACATGATCTCTACATATAAGATTCTAAGATGTAATCCTTAACATTTAACGGTCTATTCATACCCGTGTCACCTCTTGAGTGGCTTAATCTTCATCAATCATCTTTAAAATTGACAACGAAGCCAGTGCTCAACGCTAGAAAAGTGCAGCATAGATAGTGTGACGAGAAATGTAGGTGTTAAGGCAGTCTTCTCTATGGCTGGTGTAAATGCCAATCACATTAAAAAAAAAAAGAGAAACAAAATGTTGACTGCTTGGCGGTTGTCTCCTGTAGTAAAGTGAAAGGGAAAAACACGCAAAACAAATCTTATAAATAATGAACTTTAATTTGCTTTAAACAAATAAACAAAATAAAGATAATCTCTTGGCTATGTACAGTGAGGATCAAAATATATACAAAGACAAAACACAATATAAAATAAAATAATGATTAAGTTACTCTACAATAAGGAAGACAAAAATTAGATAAAGGTGCTGAGAATAGTGAGCTGGCTGAAACCTCTACTAATATACAGGACGTTGCTTAGATAGAAGCACCAACTCGAGAGGTCAAGAATATTCTGAGGCCAACTGCTCGTGCGAGACTATATATAGACGATGTAGATGGCGTTGGAGTCGCATGAAGTCACTGATTCACTAATGGGGAGAGTGTTGGTTTGAAGTGGTCGTTTGGTGATCGACGAGGTGGTGCGCCGACAGTGAGGGAGAGGGGGGTGAGGAGAGTGAGAGTAGGGTAGTGTACCCCCTGTAGAGACGTCTGTTATTCCACTTATATACTATTTTTGAATGTGGTATCATGATGTTGCAGAAGTATAGAAGTAACGCGATGTAGGAAGGAGCAGGCTAAATCTCTCTTGAAAGAGATTACTGTCACAATAGTAACTTAAGATACAGAGTTGCGAAGAATTCGATTGGCTTAGATTGTGAAATGCTTGAAGCCGAGACAGAACACACACACACAAGTTAACGTAAATGGCCATAAGTAAAACGTAAGACATGAATCAGGGATTTACACGAGGCTATGAGATGATGATACTCGTCCTTGCAACCACTGCAACAGTAAGTCACCGGTTGCACTGCGGCTACCTTGAGGTGCTTCCGGGGCTTAGCGTTCCCGCGGCCCGGTCGTCGACCAGGCCAGGCTATACTATTGTTGTCGGGTATACGTTGCTATCAGTCTGCTACTCCTGCTGGAAGGTGGCTACACTGACACATATAGAGCAGCAATGAGAACAAAGCCTGGTCCTCTACGTCCATATGTCTGGTCACAATGCACACCACCCGAAGCTACGAAGTATTTCGAAGTAGGGGGGGGAGGGTCCTGCAGTATTTCTTCATCCTGCCGGCAACGTCAGTAACTAGGTTGGTGTCTGCGGCGGCGGGATCTGCTGTCTGGGGCGGCGGGGTCTGCTGTCTGGGGCGGAGGGGTCTGCTGTCTGGGGTAGAGGGGGTCTAGGGCGGCGGGGTCTGCTGTCTGGGGCGGAGGGGTTTGCTGTCTGGGGTAGAGGGGTCTAGGAAGGTGGGGTCTGCTGTGTGGGGCGGAGGGGTCTGCTGTTTGGGGTAGAGGGGGTCTAGGGCGGCGGGGTCTGCTGTCTGGGGCGGCGGGGTCTGCTGTCTGGGCGGAGGGTTCTGCTGTCTGGGGTGGAGGGGTCTGCCGGCTGCGAGTGATGTCTGCAGGCTGCGGGTGTCAGGTGTCTGCAGGCTGGAGGGCAGGGAGGGACTCCGTGCTGGAGGTCAATAGGTTGGAGTGGATGGAGGTCTGACCTCAAGTGTTACATGACCAAGTATTACTGTATGGGGTACAGGAATACAATTTGTATTTCTGTATCATATTTATCGATTAATACAAAATAAATATTGCGTTTAAATTAAATTACTGTCTTCCCATGTATTACTGGATCAAGTATTTAGTTGTATTTTGATTAAGTGTATTCTTGAGCATTCAGTGAATGTATTTTAAAATGATTATAGTCCAGATTAGCCATAAAATATTATGAAAATTATGATTGTAATTATATACTAAATATTATATGAATTGTTCTCAGAATAATGATTCCATCTAGATTAAAAAAAAATGGCTTTTGATGTAGCTTCAGGAACACTAATTATTTTGTTTTATTAAGTTTTTTTTCTCTGGTGTGTGTGTGTGTGTGTTTAGTATTTGTTTTGTATCTGCAGAATCGAGCTATTAGCTCTTGGACCCCCGCCTTTCTAACCCATTTATTTTCCTCTATTATTTCTACTACTATATATTTCTTTTACTTTCGTGCGCGCACACACACACACACACACACACACACACACACACACACACACACACACACACACACACACACACACACACACACACACACACACACACACACACATTAGCCTATAATTAGGTGAGTATAATTAGGTGAGTACACACACACACACACACACACAGGAAGCTGCCCGTAACAGCTGTCTAACTCCCAGGTACCTATTTACTGCTAGGTAACAGGGGGCATAAGAATGAAAGAAACTCTGCTCATTTTGTTTCTCGCCGGCGCCCGGGATCGAACCCGGGACCACGAGTCCCGCGCCGCTGTCTACTCAGCTACCAGACGCCTTGAATGTGTGTGTTTCTTTTTATAATGGTGTCATTGTGTTTACCGCGACATCCTGGAGTGCAGTTTGACCTGTGAAGTCACTTACCTGACGAAAGGATAGGATACAGACGAAGTGTTCGTTCGTGTACGAATCAGTCCAATGGTTCTCTTTGGCATCATATTTTTTGTTTTATTTTTTTCAATTTTTACCATTTTCCTGAAGAAAAAAGACTTTCAAATTGTTGTTTAAAATTTTTTGTGTACTCATGTGTGTACTCACCGAGTTGTACTCACTTCGTTGTGCTTGCGGGGATTGAGCTTTGGCTCTTTGGTCCCGCCACTCAACTGTCAATCAACTGGTGTACAGGTTCCTGAGCCTACTGGGCTCTATCATAGCTACATTTGAAACTGTGTACGGAGTCAGCCTCCACCACATCACTGCCTAGTGCATTCCATTTACTAACTACTCTGATACTAAAACCGTTCTTTCTAATGTTTCTGTGGCTCATTTGGGTACTTAGCTTCCACCTGTGTCCCCTTGTGCGTGTACCACCCGTGATAAATAATCCATCCTTGTCTACCCCTGGCAATATGTGTACACGTGTGTTCATATGTGTGTGTGTGCACGTGTGTTCATATGTGTGTGTGTGCACGTGTGTTCATATGTGTGTGTGTGCACGTGTGTTCATATGTGTGTGTGTGCACGTGTGTTCATATGTGTGTGTGTGCACGTGTGTTCATATGTGTGTGTGTGCACGTGTGTTCATATGTGTGTGTGTGCACGTGTGTGTACTGTCCTACATGTGTTCACAGCGTTAAGTGTCAGCCTTTTGACCAAGTGTTAAAATATTGACATATGTCGGTCGACTTTTCTTATCATATTTATGTTTAAAACTGCATATAAAACTTCATATCGACAATTTCCTCATTTAGTCCGGTCTACTCATTTACGACTCTTCCACTTACACTGAAATTCATTCTAGTGAACTTATTTATTTCCTGTTTCCAATTATGCCCCATCGTTGAACTGATCCTCAATTTCAACATTTTCTTCTCTATCTACTTGGTTGATTACTGCCTCACAATCATGTTTGCCTTATTCTCTTCCAGTGCGGTGAGGTCTAGTTCCTTCAGTCTCTCTTCATATTTCTCTCCCTTTAGCTCAAAAATTACCCTTTTTGTATATCTTTGGACTTGTTTTGTTTTGGGTGTCGTTAGGCTGGGAATTCGGGGCAGCATACTTAAGATTAGGTCTCACATATATATCTGAAAAAGAGAGAATGTCTATCTATATGTTTGTCCAAGCTTAGGGCTAGCCTTGCAAACTTTGCAGGCGGACTGGTGAGCGTTATGGGACGGTAATAGGAGGGTAGGGTTACACAGGTTAATAATATGGTCATTATATTACTGTATTCGTATACTGACATACATATCGCATTCTCTGAAGTGAGATTGGCTTTCTGGGAGACTCCCACTACTGAAGTCGAGTCGAACCCCACCGGTCGATATATTGCACTCGGAAGGATCCTTTGTTAAAGTTTCTGAAGGCTATCCAGATGTTTGCTAGTTTTTGCTTGTACTACCTTCGTTATCCTGCTGACGTGTGCCTCGGGTGTTAGATTTGGAGTTATGGTTACTCCCAGGTCCTTCTCCCGTTCACGCCTCAACGAATGCTGTAACTTCAAAACACATTTTACTTTATATTGTCGGCTACACTGAATTCCAGTTCATTGTCCACTAAATTTCCGTTTATAGCACATAAAACGGTCATTCCTGGCCGCAGTGGTCGTGGTCGCAGTGGTCGTGGCCGCAGTGGTCGTGGTCGCAGTGGTCGTGGTCGCAGTGGTCGTGGTCGCAGTGGTCGTGGTCGCAGTGGTCCTGGCCGCAGTGGTCGCAGTGGTCCTGGCCGCAGTGGTCGTGGTCGCAGTGGTCGTGGCCGCAGTGGTCGCAGTGGTCGTGGTCGCAGTGGTCGTGGTCGCAGTGGTCGTGGTCGCAGTGGTCCTGGCCGCAGTGGTCCTGGCCGCAGTGGTCCTGGCCGCAGTGGTCCTGGTCGCAGTGGTCGTGGTCGCAGTGGTCGTGGCCGCAGTGGTCCTGGCCGCAGTGGTCCTGGCCGCAGTGGTCGTGGTCGCAGTGGTCGTGGTCGCAGTGGTCCTGGCCGCAGTGGTCGTGGTCGCAGTGGTCGTGGTCGCAGTGGTCCTGGCCGCAGTGGTCCTGGCCGCAGTGGTCGTGGCCGCAGTGGTCCTGGCCGCAGTGGTCGTGGCCGCAGTGGTCCTGGCCGCAGTGGTCCTGGCCGCAGTGGTCCTGGCCGCAGTGGTCCTGGCCGCAGTGGTCCTGGCCGCAGTGGTCCTGGCCGCAGTGGTCGTGGTCGCAGTGGTCGTGGTCGCAGTGGTCCTGGCCGCAGTGGTCCTGGCCGCAGTGGTCGCAGTGGTCCTGGCCGCAGTGGTCCTGGCCGCAGTGGTCCTGGCCGCAGTGGTCGTGGTCGCAGTGGTCCTGGCCGCAGTGGTGGCCGCTGGCCGCAGTGGTCCTGGCCGCAGTGGTCCTGGCCGGTCCTGGCCGCAGTGGTCCTGGCCGCAGTGGTCCTGGCCGCAGTGGTCCTGGCCGCAGTGGTCCTGGCCGCAGTGGTCCTGGCCGCAGTGGTCCTGGCCGCAGTGGTCGTGGCCGCAGTGGTCGTGGCCGCAGTGGTCCTGGCCGCAGTGGTCCTGGCCGCAGTGGTCCTGGCCGCAGTGGTCCTGGCCGCAGTGGTCGTGTGGCCGCCGTGGCCGCAGTGGTCAGTGGTCGTGGCCGCAGTGGTCCTGGCCGCAGTGGTCGTGGCCGCAGTGGTCCTGGCCGCAGTGGTCCTGGCCGCAGTGGTCCTGGCCGCAGTGGTCGTGGCCGCAGTGGTCGTGGCCGCAGTGGTCGTGGCCGCAGTGGTCGTGGCCGCAGTGGTCGTGGCCGCAGTGGTCGTGGCCGCAGTGGTCCTGGCCGCAGTGGTCCTGGCCGCAGTGGTC